AACATCTATAAATTATATATAATCACTTATTAGTCACATTCCAACGTATAACAACATCTATAAATTATATATAATCACTTATTAGTCACATTCCAACGTATAACAACATCTATAAATTATATATAATGACTTATTAGTCACATTCCAACATATAACATCTATAAATTATATATAATCACTTATTAGCTACATTCCAACATATAACATCTATAAATTATATATAATGACCTCTTAGTCACATTCCAACGTATAACAACATCCGTTGTTATACGTTGGAATGTGACTAATAAGTGATTATATATAATTTATAGATGTTGTTATACGTTGGAATGTGACTAATAAGTGATTATATATAATTTATACGTTGGAATGTGACTAATAAGTGATTATATATAATTTATAGATATAACAACATCTATAAATTATATATAATCACTTATTAGTCACATTCCAACGTATAACAACATCTATAAATTATATATAATCACTTATTAGTCACATTCCAACGTATAACAACATCTATAAATTATATATAATCAGTTATTAGTCACATTCCAACATATAACAACATCTATAAATTATATATAATCACTTATTAGTCACATTCCAACATATAACAACATCTATAAATTATATATAATCACTTATTAGTCACATTCCAACATATAACATCTATAAATTATATATAATCACTTATTAGTCACATTCCAATGTATAACAACATCTATAAATTATGTACCATCAGTTATTAGTCAAGTCTAATGACAGAAACATTTTTGACCCCTGATTACCTTAAACATACAACAACATAGAAACACTCTCACCCCACCCCTACCCAAGTATAAGAAAAGTCAGTCTATTATTCTACTTCACCTGGTAATTCTTGATTTATCTGTTGGAATTAATAAGACAATACACAGACACCCGAAGTCTCCACACAAAGTGTCAGTGCAACACTGATTATCAACTATTCATTTTACTACACAAGTTGTTCATAGGTTACTAACTCACTCCAAATTTGGTTACATGATAATAATACTTATTTACGTGGAGAGAGTACACAAGTTGTTCATAGGTTACTAACTCACTCCAAATTTGGTTACAGGATAATAATCCTTTCTTTACATGGAGAGACTACACAAATTGTTCATAGGTTACTAACTCACTCCAAATTTGGTTACAGGATAATAATCCTTTCTTTGCATGGAGAGAGTACACAAGTTGTTCATAGGTTACTAACTCACTCCAAATTTGGTTACAGGATAATAATCCTTTCTTTGCATGGAGAGAGTACACAAGTTGTTCATAGGTTACTAACTCACTCCAAATTTGATTACAGGATAATAATCCTTTCTTTACTTGGAGAGAGTACACAAGTTGTTCATAGGTTACTAACTCACTCCAAATTTGGTTACATGATAATAATACTTTCTTTACGTGGAGAGAGTACACAAGTTGTTCATAGGTTACTAACTCACTCCAAATTTGGTACATGGGTATTTTGTTTTAAGTCTAAGGTTGGTATCTGCTGGTAACGGGGAACGAACTTTTTCGTTACTTCGTTAGCAAGGTTAAACAAAGTTTACTCCTTAATGAACTTCCATTTCAGAAATGTTGTGTGTTTTCAGTCACCTTTTCTTTGTTTTGATTTCTATATGAATGATTTCTTGTTTTCTCATTTATTTTCTTATCATAAAATACACATTTTAACTTACGTTTGTAAATGTTATTTCTCAG